CAGGAATGAGAGCAATTAGTTAAGGATGAAATGGATTTCAACTTTTAGGAAAAAGAAAAAACAACAGAAGAGAGGATTTTTTGTGCCCACTAATGACTAGTGCAATCTAGTAACTGCAGTTTTCCATACCACGTTTGGGTATAACTTTAATTACTCCATTCAGGCCAAAATAGTGTGGCCTGAAGTACGTGCAGGCAACTCCTCGTTGTTCTGTTAGCACTTCTGTTTGCATTCGTTTTGCCAGATGCAACAAAGAAAGAGACAGAAATACCATTCTAACTTAAACTAGTTATTTCACATAAAACAAATTTGTTCACATCTCTTAGATGACCCAACCAGAAACCCACCAGGGTAGTAGGTAGTGATGATTTTTGCTTCTGCAAAATGCATTTCAGACCTGTGAAACAGAGAAAAAATTCACTTTGCCTAAGAAAACCTCGCTCAGTGGACAGATTAGCAAACCCAAAATTTCTAAGCTACAAAGTCTTAAAAGTAAGTCCAGTAATTCCAAAGCATTTTAGAAACGGCCTCCATCCAGCCACTCATTTGCAGTGCATTTGGATCTAAGCACAGTCCTTGGCCCATTGCTCTATAATCTCCCACTGCATCTCTTAAGAGTGGGACCTTTTTTCAGATGCATTTACTTCCTTAGCACATTTGCACATGCGTTTGTTCTTGATTTTTAATATGAAGCTAAGAACTACAAATTTGTCTCCAACACCACCTCACAGCAGAGTTTTAACTCATTGCTGCTTTTTATTCACAAGCTGCTACAACGTATGCCAACAGTGCATCGGGGAAGTGGATGCTGGAGCGCAAGGCCTGAGGTTGAAGTCGCCAGCTGTAATGCCCTGTTAGCAAGACAGCAGCACGGGTGAAGGAGCTTTCTCGTGCTGGCATTGCTCCCGGTTCTGCACATCCTGGTTGGGAAGGGGTTATGCCATCAGCCTCCGGGCTGCGCGAGACCCAGGCGGGGGGGGAAATGGTGCCTTCAGCTGGCTTCTGGTTTTGCTCGGCTGTCCCTTCTTGCTTTAACAAGTCTCATGCTGGGCATGTGCAGAAGCAAAAGCACTGGGTTGCAGGTTTTAACACCAGAGAGGCAGCACAGCCTCACAGCATATTCTGCCAATATACTAATATTTTCTCAATATTCTAGGAATAGCTGAAAGACCATTTTTAGCAAATTAGCAATCCTCTGAGAACAGAAAAGCCAGCTCTAATGCAAAATTCTCTGCTTGGAAAGCGGCAGCAGGAGAGGGGATTTTATCTGTAGCTGTTACTAGCTGCACAGACTGTCACTGCTCGCACGCAGTGGAAGTAATTTTTCACTCGTCTCTGGGGGCTGCTGCTTTGCCCTGAAGGATAGAGGCACTGCACCGTGACACGGGTAAGTGACATTTGTCGCTGGCTTTCCTGGCTTGGGCAAATGCTGCCCGTGTCCCCAGGTACTGGGATTGCTGATGATGATGATGCTACGGACTACAGAAGTGGGGCTGGAGTTTTTTGTATTTTGGGAAATACAAGGCATTTTCAGAAGTCTTTTCTTGTCTATTAGATACCTAGGCAGGAGTCAATTGTGGTAAGTCAAAAAGATTGCTGAATTTCACTTTGAACACCTC